GCGTGAATATTAACATAACAGCAAAATAGCAGATGCAATTAGTGGTGGGTAGTGGTTAGCTTGTTGGCCATCGGCCGATTGAGATTAGCAAGATGGCAGGATCATTGTATTTTTCTTGAAAACTCAGATGAGAATGTGCTTAAGTTCGAAAAAAGGAAAAGAGAAGGTAGGACTAGACATAGACAAATATGTAAAAAGATTAAAGTTGGAAATATACTGTCTGTCTAGGGATCGGAGCTCTCATCTGTCCAAGAGAAATATCCTTATTTTGATATTGACTGAAGAAAAATGTGTTTCCACTCTACAGCTCAAATCATGCCAACAACCACAGTCCCAGGATTGATGGAATTATTGACTTGCTAAAAAGAAAATCTTATGAGGGGGCGCTTATTCAAACGGGGCCGCTTATTCAAATGTGGCGCTTAAGGGAATTTTCACGTTAGGAGAGGCGGTTATTCGAGAGGGCGCTTAATCAAACGGGGCGCTTATTTGCTCGAGTACGGTATCTAAACTCGCCTCTGAATGGCTGTTTATTATTGCAGTACTTAAAATAAATCAATTTCGCTGTCAGAACTCCTATCTTCTTCATGATTCTCATATACAACCTAATTTAAACTAATTAAAGAATGAAAATCATAGACTCGATCATTTATTACCGGACCGGTGAGTTATATCTTACAATCTTAAACACAGTACCGAATTTTGTTTGCCATTATGTAAAACTAAAAGAAGTAAATTATTGTATCACAAATCATGGTGTTTACATGAACTGGTAAATATTGATTGCATAGCCGGAGATGTTTGTGTCCGTTTTTTTTTTACTCTTGATGTTTTTTTTTAACTTTTGACATTTTATCGAATTTTCTTTTTTATAATCTTTTGAACGATGTTCATCTTGTATTTATTATGATTTGCACTAAAAGTTTTTCGTATTTGTATTACTCCTGACTAACTTCAAGGGAGTCTCAGCAACATTTGCTTGAAATTGGAGGTGACATTGGACCCGAATGATCACATCGAGCATTATGGCACTTCACATAAAGAACACTGCAGTGCTTACAATTTATTTTATTTTATTCAATTCTGAACCAAAAGCTAGAAACCTCCACTAGGTTGGAACATATACAAAGAAACACAATATGGTACAACTTGCAATAAACTGTCTTCATAAAGTTTTAAACGAGCATAAACTTCATAAAAATATATATTTCATCCGAACAATTTTAATTATTAAATGTAACTGCTAATCTTTTAAATAAACTCTCTTACGTAAACTCGGCCAAATGGGGGGGGGGGGACATAAGTGTTTAGTGAAAGTACGACTACGAACGTTAATGAGTTAATTGTTTTTAAGTAGGTATTTGTTGCTGTGCCTGCATTTAGACAATAGCTCGGTTCTTTTGTTTATTGTTGACCGTTTGTCTGAATATATTATGTGGAGTTTCTCGGTTATGCACAGATTGCAGCGTTTTGTTTTTGGGGAGTAAGCCTGTGCATGAACTCATTTGCATTTTCACCTGTCTTAGCATTCATATACTCGTACAATCCTTGTATTCTCTCACTCCTGAAGATTGCATTAGCATGAAACAGTCTGTAGAGTGATAATACCCAGTTCTACATTTTCAATATATATATATATATATGAAGAAGGCGTGTCCACGTGTGTTTCGAAACATATGTAGAATATAATATAACGTAACAGTAAAGAAACTCAAATACGTAAGATGTTGACTTTAGAAACACTAAAATTTATTAGGCGAATATTTATAGACGTATGCCGACTTGCTTTGACTTAATTACTGTATTGTTTCTCAAATTGTATATTGCTAAGATAGTTTCTCAATATGTTCATTTTATGTCAAGCGTTGACAAAGACTACAGGAGTAGCCGATATATATATCAAACTCGTATACATATATATATATATATATATATATATATATATATATTATAGAGCTGCTATTCCCATTTATACAGTTAATGTCAACAATTTTCAGGAATGTATTAGCCTGGGCAAAAACAAAAAAAAGCAGACTTGATGTTGTGGACTGTGGTAGACCAATTTGGAGGGGATCATGAAGCCCTCCCACGGAAAGCTTTTGTTTTATAGTTGCTTGAAAATGTCCTCTCCTGCCTCTGGTCAATGTGATGAGGTAGGCCTAATAAAAAATATTCACAAGACAGGATTTTTGATGGAATAATTTTAATGAATATGGTATCCATTCCAATTTTGTTTGGTTTCAATTATGACCATTTTTTTTTTCATTTTGGAGACCAGTTTGAGATATTTTCTAATAATGCTATAAAAAAAAAAGATTAAAAAAATTATGCTAAATTTGCCAAAATTAAACCTAGCACATGTTAGATCTGCTAAAATGGTCTAAATCACAGGTGGGCAAAGTGCAGCCCGCATGCAGCCCGACAATAATTTTTTGCAGCCTGTTAACCATTTTGGCAAGAAAATACTTTGTTATGGCCAGACACCGATTATCTATAAAAAGTAAAATTAAAACTGAGAATAAAGTGGTATAAAAGCAGAAGTTTTTTGGAAGAACACACGAACCCATCAAAATTTGGATGTGGCCTCAATGTTAAATCAAACATTCACTTTGGACCTTCAACCGATTTTTATAAAATACTCCCAACTAGTTCAATTTCATCTACTGTATATTATACTTTTGGATGTACCAACAATAAGAAAATAAATTGTGGATATTAGGTACTAAATAAATTTGGACATTGCAAAATTCTGTAGGCACCTTTGAGCTAGGACCTTTGAGCACATGTTGACCACAGTGTAAGATGGCATATGATGATGAAATATTTATAATTTTTACGAAACCAGACAAATACACGGCTGATTTTGTCAGTTGTAACTTAATAGCAATCCGTACACAAAAAAAAACTGGGACACTATCTTGTAAGAAATTCAGTTTTATTATGATTGAATCAGAGCAAGTAAAGTACCCATAACAAAGAGATTAAAAAAAAATAACACTTGATATTCTAATTTACTTTGGATAATCAAGGAGTGAATTACAACTCCCTACCTAGTATACCGTAATGTGAATTCACATTCTATCATTGCCAAACATTGTTAAAAGAACATTCAAGTTTTGTACATGAACATTCTCAAACATAATATTCTTACAGTGGTACAAGAACATTATAAAAATACTAATAAATTTTAAAAACATTCCCATATTAGTATTTAAAGCATTCTCAAATCGCTTTGGTAATAAATATTCTCAAATTTGAAAAATACCTTTTTTTGCATGGTAATCCCAGATTTGTAAAAACACACATGTTTGTTTTAAGACAAGAAATGAATATAAATGTATTTTTAAAAAAAATTAAAATTAAAAACCAAGATTCTAATACAAAACTAAATATTAAAAAGGTTAGCAGTACCTAAATAGATTACATCTTATCAACAAGAGTGTCTAGGACCTAAAACACAAGGTATATAAAATCAAGATTGTTTTTCACATTCCCTTTTATTAGGGAAGATTCTAGAAGTCATTGTTTCAGTTACAAGACTTGGTGGTTTTCGAAACTGTCTATTCAGGTTGTGGGGTGTAGCGAAGGTAGCCTTTTCCAGATGGCACAGACACAGTTTCAACACCTTTGGGGAAAAATTTACTTTCATCTTCCTTCTTGATAGATGGCAAAACCATGCACTTTCCACCATGCTGAAAGAAAAGTTAAACAACCTAAAAATCAATTTTAATTTTTCTGGACATCAAATACAGGGGGTTGATTGGATTCGATTGGATTTATTCGGTGTAAACATCAAGGATAGCCCACGAAATTCTGGAAGAAGACTTATTTCCAGTGGGGTCCTTCTAGGGGTTAATATTCACTACACCGTTTTTAACCTACTTACCAGACCATCTACTGACTGAGCAGATGTTTGAGAATTAAATATGCTGACTAAACAATAGAATTTACATTTTGAGTTTTTTATCAAAACAAACTAAGAATATACCTACATACACGTAGAGCGCAGTATGACAGTAAAGAGCTATTAATTTGCGGGACGACGCGAAAATGGAATCACTCATGCGTGACAGTCCTACCAGGCTTATCCTACATTCTCTTCATACTTAGATTTGACCAAATTGTGTCCTAGAATCCATGTGACAAGGAGAAGGTTCTCGAAGGCACAAATTACTTTTAGTGACGTCATGACATTCTACATCCAATCGAAAGCTCCCTAGCAGATACTATGAATACTTACCGTCCAGTTAACTGGAGTTGCTACCTTCTTGGT